TCTTCCGAGAATTCAAACTGCGAAACGTTTCCGTTGAGAAATCTGACTACAGGATTTGATTCGTGTCAAATATTTCGTACTTCCTTGTCAAAATTTCTTTAAATTTTTTTTTCAGCAGACCTCCGGTGACCGTGTACCATCGTTGGGTGAGATTCAGCAATTGGAAGACCGTGATCTGCTGGATATTTTCGGTCCTGCTTCAAACTTGGCCATCGTTCCGACGGTGGAGCGTCCACCACCTAACTTTTCGCAGTTTCAATCAACACCTCAAACTCAACGACAAATAACAACTTCGCGATCAATTGATGCACTACCTGAATTCGTCTCATCTTCCACCCGATCAAGACCACCCGGTTTCATGAATTTCAACGGTAACACAGGTCGACGGGAATCAATCCCAATACTGCGCAATCGTGCGTTTGAAGAGCCCCCTAAGCTCTCCAATAATTTGTATCGACCTTCGTAAGTGGTCACATCTTGCTAATTGTTTAAAAACTGCTCGATAATGTGAAATATATCAGGATGTTTCCAGATAAACTTGAGCCCAATCCTCGAGTAGGCTTTATACCGTGAATTTTGAAATTTTTCATGAACCTTAGATCGCTCGAACATATCTCGAAATCGGAACTCTTTACCGTTTAAACGACTGGTTAAGATTATTGTCTTGAACGTAGTCCTGTCTTGCGCTCATTTCCCAGTCATTATGGTTGTTTTCTGTTATTTGCTTCTACGATTCAGAAATACCAAAGTTTGCTGTGAAGATGAGATTACAAATATTAGATGTAAAATTATAGTGCAGAAAGTATGGCATGACTGATTATAACTTGATCCAACATGTTCTTCTGATGCAGACTTATTCTCGATATGGGTTCAACCGCATCCTTTTTCTCGTTATATTCACGACTCAACTTAATATTACTTCATCTTCTCTTATTCAGTGGTTATTTAGGGAGGTCGTTCCGGTGTGGGCTTATGAGGCCGGTTCAAACTTGGGAGAGCTGGCCTCAACAGGTGCTGAGGCTTTCATATCCGGAGCGCATGGTTTTGGTCGTGCGTTTGGTGTTGACACATATCAATTATCATCGGATTTGCTGAAAGTCGGAAGCACTTTCTTGGGTCGAAAACGGTAATTCCATCGGACAATTCTAAAGAATTCGCCGCTTTCCGACTCCTCGTTTGAGTAACTGATATTTACATGAGCATATATGTACTCGGTTGAATGTAATAATACTATTATATTTGTTGTTGCCTTGATACGTCCAATTGGATTTATTGTTGCCTTGATATCACTTGCCTTGATACGTCCAATTGGATCAGTAATACAAAACACGAAATGATGATTTGGTGAATGGCTGCATGTGAATTTCGACTAACTTTATGGTTTATCTGATCATTTCATAATGTAAGAAAGGAATTTTCTTGGAAACGGAAGTAATTTTCCGAGGTAGTTCGAACGGAACAGATGAGAACAACTAACAGAAAGGAGGGATTCACAACCTGTTCGAATTCATAATTGCAGAAATTTTACATTTTGTGTTTGAAATATGAGGAATTTTGATGATTTCAATTAATAGTTCTCAGTGTTTTGCTCTAATCCTCTCTGTTATTAAAATATAGTGCGATCCATATCTCATCCGTATACATGTATTTTCACTGAGAGATTTGTTCAGTTGAAACTGAATAAGAACCGATTTCGTTGAATGAATATCTCAAAAACAAACAAGATTCAGGTCGTCCTTGTCGAAAATCTTGCGAACGTTGGTGTTAACACTTCAAAAAGTATAAACCTCTTAGCAAATAACATCAATGGCACTTCAAGCATTCCCATCTGATCTGTTCGATTACTTTTGCAAATACTCGAAAAAATATTCGTTAAAAGCATCACCCTTGCCACTCTCATTTGGGCAACACATCACATTTTCCGATTTTAATATTGCCCATGTTCCTGATTCGTGAACATCGCCCCAAGCAGACATCCACCGTGCAGGCGCTAATTCACCTGGTTCATGCTTATTCAATCTTCAACAGGACAGGACTCCCTATGCAAAAATGGTTTTCTCTCTGACTTAAAGATTTAGCATTATCTTTTCATTCAATCGCAAATTCTCTGCGGGAAGCTTCAAGTCTCCATTCACAAACATGTTTGGGTATTCTCCATTTAAGTTTGTGATTAGATTTGATAGCTGAGAGATTTGTTCAGTTGAAACTGAATAAGAACCGATTTCGTTGAATGAATATCTGATTGCAGAAATGACCTGGAATGAGCTGTTCAAATTGATTCAATGATGCAATCGGAGCACAGAAATGACCAGTTGGCGAATGGTTATTGCGGTATTTTTGTGAAGAATCACTTGCTGCTGGAAGTTTCTTTTGAAAATTGCCTAAGGATTGCAATAAGATATGTGAAAAAAACTGCCAACAAATGAAGGACTTTAGACATTTACACCGGCTACTGGCTCACCTAAGAGTATAGGAACTTCAGTCCAGTTGATCGTGGTTTATTGTCAGAGGATCTGGCGATACACAAAACTCAGTTTTGAAATGCACTGATAATCGATTCACTTGTTGCACTCGCAACGTAATTGTGGACGACGTTTTAGGTCAAAGGAAAGGAGTGCAGTATATAACACCCATAGAACATGCGTCAGCCATGACATGCATGAAGATATTGTACGGCAGATATTTCCTCATAACTAATTTTTCGAACGAGTAGGGAGCTAATTCTTGGTCCTGGACGTTGAGTAGGTCATTAGGATTGTTCTCACTAACTCTAATCAACTTCTAACTCGAACCAACGTAATTCTCATCAGTCTCAAACCTAATCAATTGATATCAATGAAAGGAACCTCCTTCTGAGCACGACTGAAACCAACCCATTCCTTACAGTATTTGCAAGACCAATCGCTCATTTCCTTGCTATTTCTAAATCAGCAAACCAGATACAATGCAAGATTTTAATGCGCAACCTCGCCCACAGCGTCGAGTAGAAACCGACAAGGTTTTTCCGATGACACACTGTACACGACAGAAAAATTGAGCAGAAGTCATAGACGACAGCTTTTTCTGTGCGAACCCCTAACTGTTAAACACTGATGATCATTC